ATATATATATATATATAAAAAATCTTAAAACATACAGTACTGCGTAAATAAAGAGACAACAAATATGTGTCGGCTGTATGGTGAGTGTGACAGGTGTGTTAAGTGCTTTGAATCATCTTGACCCTCTCGGAACTGACATGCAGATTCTCTCAGTTTCTCTCACACAGCCTTTCTCCTTAAAAAAATATAAAGAAATTCATCAAAAAACGATGAGGATTGTATGAAGTCTTCCTCTTAACATTATTTTTAAAGTGAAGTTCGCCAACCCAGTGTGTTTGCACTTGTATGTATCAGGTTAGGGTATCTCACATTTACACATTAACAATGACCCACCTAGGTTCAATCTAGGACTATATGACCCCTGATTAAGGTTTTTGACAATCATTGAAAACAACTATCTGGTGAGATAGAAGACAAGGGGTTTAAGAAAAAAAAATGTAAATGAAATAAGATGAAAGTAAAGACTCCACCATCATCAAACTGAACAGTGTTATTCCCTCTCTATTGTGTGGCACACTGGTACCACCTGATGACATCACTGATCAGGTCTGGCACACCCTGATGGCACGGTGAAGAACACGTGCTACGTTTATACTAAAAAAAAATGTTTTTCTTACTCCCACTCAGCAGATGAAAAATTTCATGATTTACCCACAAATCCTTCATGCTTAGGATCAGCTGACATTATATCACTCCTGTGGTCCAGTGTAAAACCACTGGCGTGGCAAGATTTTCGTCCAGGCGGCCTCACTAGCAGTGCACAGGGAGTGAATTCACTGCCAAGAAACTAACTGAGAGCTAATTCAATTTCAACTTTACATAATCTGCAATGTGTATCCAGCCAAGAAGAGCCATCCAGCATTGCTCCTGTGTGCCACACAGCCACCAACAAACACTCTTCACTAATCCCTAACCATAAGTCATATTGTGAAAACCACCAAAACGGCACAGATTGCTTGTGTGATATCAAATCCATCTACAAAAAAAAGAAAAAAGTGTTATAAACTACATGGACTTAATGTAAGGTGATACCATGTAGGGTAAATTTACCTCTACAGTACAGTATTCAAGATAGAAAAATAAAAACAGAAAACAAAACTTTAAAACCAAGACAAATGAAACATTAAAGTGGGCATTCATGATTTTTTTTGTAGAATCCTTTTCTGTTTTTTTTCCAAATCCCAATGGTTACACAACAGTCCTGCGAGCATTCACTTGCCAATATTCGACCTTCCCTCAATGCTGACTTTCACCTCATGAGGGATAAAGGAAGGTTTCGGCAGGGTCAAGGGTGGCTCCTCCTCGGATTTTTCTACTTTTCGACCTTCAGGGGCAGACCATCTCCGCTTCCTGCCTCTTGATGGCTTACTGGAGCCAGCTTCTGCACCGCCGGCAACCTGACATTTAGAAACTAACCCTCTTTCTCCAAACATGAGATCTCCGTTTTCCACATTGGTGCCACTCCTATTGCCACTTCCACCCTTCCCTCGCTGGCTGATGCCATTCTCCCGCTCGCTGTGCCTGGAGCCTCCTCCACCACAGCTTTGGGGAGCGTCTAAAACAGCTCTGTGGGGTTTGAGGTGCGCGTGGCTGGGGGCTGGGACACAAGCAGGGGTGGCCAGCTCCAGGGGCTGCGTCTTCTTCAGAGATCCGTTCCTCAGGTTCTTGAGGGTAAGTGAAATACAAACATCACCCACAGACAGCTTGGTGCAAGGCAGCTCCAGAAGCTGGGTGGTCCGGTCAGGGCAGCATGAAGACCAGCCTTGGCCGAAGACGAAGAAGGGGTACTCCACCAAGACCTCCACACTCACCTAGAGGAAAAGGAATGGTGGAAAGACACATCAAGACAAAGACACTTCTGGTCTTCTAAGCCCCTAAAAACTTGGTTTCAAACACATACTATTTTTCCAGAACTTTAAATAGTTCTGACTAAATAAGCAACAATGACATTTTCATTTAGGAAAAAATTGAAAGAAAGCATGTTAACTGAAGAGGTAAACTGAAATCATCACAATGTTATAGTGCATTTGGGAATAGGCAAAAGCTATTGTAATGATGTGCTTTGCATAGTAATAACATAGTTTGAGTCAAACAAGTAGCTACATCGGGGTTGGTGTCGGGGTAGAGGGTGGAGTAACGTCAACGTTAGAGTTTGTTCATTCATTTAGTTCATATATAAGTGTCAGAACTGCATAGCGAAGCGAGGCTTATAGGGAACCACTCTAAACGCACATGATTGTGCTTTTATTGTGTGCTTTTAATACATAATGATAAGTTAAAGAAAAAAATGTGTCTACCACTTTAACATTAGTATTAGACTTAAAGTGGTAGACAAAGTGGCTAATCTGCTTCATCAGGACTGCGTGGGTGTGGTTTGATCAGATTTGGTTGACAGCAATAATCCACCTAATCATCACATTCTGACAGGAAACACGAAGAGAGAGAGACATCATGTTTATGTAAAATGCTATCTCTCATAGTGAGAAAAAAATCTCTTTTTTTTTTTTTTTTACAAACAAGGACATCTCTCTGGCTGCTTGTCAAAAACAAAGGACTTCATTTTTGTCCAAAATTTAGCTAAATTAAAGAAAATGGGATTTTGTAATAACGTTGATTGGTCTGGCACAGCTGGATATTGTTGGCGTAGGAAAAAATGACAAACATTCAAACATTCCCACTAGGAAGAAATATCTTTGTGACCAAAGGGGCAAGATATTCAACAATATCAATCCAAAAATGAAGCCTTGTGGTCCAAAATCAATGAGGAGGATGGAACATATTTTTGTGAAGAGATTGAAATTCCTCTGGATTCAATTCTGTACTTTGGTGTCTGCTTTATGATTTGTATGTATGACAGAATGAAGAGATGACAGACGCAGAGGAGGCTTTGAGATATGATGGATAGAGCGAGGGAGAAAATAAACCTGAGGAGAAAGAAGTGAAGGAATATCTGAAATATTGTAGAGAGAATGAGATGGTGGGAGTGGAAAAAGCTACTGAGATGGAGATGAAAAGGCGAGATTACAAAGGGAGGGTGGGTAGAACAAGAAGAGGAGTGAGGAAGGGAGTGTGAAGGAAAACAATGTCAAGAACGATACAAGTGGAAGATGTATCAAACACCCTCTCAAAGCAAACATCAGGCAATATTTTCCCTCCTGTATTATATAATTTTTGACTTCTTAGAGTAAAGTCCTCCGAGTGTGGACTCAAAGCTGCTACCACCTCTCAGGAAAATAAAATAAAAAGTAAGAGCCACTGATGGAGTACAAGAGAGAAAGATAAGTCTTTGAAAGATTGTCAGCTTTTGTGGGGTACAGTATCAAAGAGCAGCCGGGGGCGCGAGAGATGGTTAGAGATGTGCTGTGTGGGCGGACGAGTCACAGCGTGGACAGATGAAATAGATTAACTGGCTTTAACGCGCACCCTCAAAGACAGTGAGAAGGGTGCGTGTGTGTGTGAGTGTGTTTGAAGGAGTAAGAGAGAACCACAGACAGATAACAGAAGGATAAATTGTAGCATAGTATTACATGTTAAGAGATTACTGAGAGATTGAAGAGGAAATAGTAAGGGTTCGATGTAGCCTCTTAAACCTTTCCAGTACAAAACATTATCTGGGAATAAAGCATGTATCCTACGTTTGTACTTTAGGTATTTTACAGACCTAAATCACATATTAGATAAATATTTCAAACACGCAAAGTATTACATGTAGAAATAAAGCAGGAATGTGTTGCTGAATCAGTGCACTCATGCTCCTGGCTTCACTGAATGCTTGAAAGAAAACCTGATGAGTAAATTCCAACAGTCGACTCTTTGATCTGTCTCTAAAGCTTGTAATCAGAACATGTTTGTTACATGACTGCCTTGCTAGTACATTGAACTTCATCGCGAGGGGAATAGCGGAGTCCTGTGAGATTCACGATTATAGAGTCATTAATACGGGCGCAGCTCAACACTTGTCATTCAACATTAATAACACCAGCCAAGAGTATACATAAAAGCCTTGTTAGAGATCCATGATACAACTGGGCTGATTAGCTTGGCACTGCATGATATTTTTTACACAGTTTTCACTGTATATTTCTGTTCTTCCAATGTTCTTTCAAATGGACTAAAGGTTTCAGCACCTGTCATAATGATGGGTCCTGCAATAAACGATGGTTAGCAAACTGTCATCATGCTTTGTAAAATCACACCAAGAACAAGAATTATAGGATGAGTTTCACTTTCTTTCAGAGAGTTAGACGAGAAGATCGATACCAGTCTCATGTCTGTGCATTAACAATGGAGACAACACTGAGAACTGAATTAGCTACTAACACCTCCGAAGCTTATAATTCACATGTTGTATCACTGATTTTTACACAAATAAATTTGGAAATGGAAAAGTTCTCCGGGAGTGTGCGATAGTTTCAGCTTGTAAACCACTTTAAAACCACAATTTGACATTTTTACATTTGTGTATGGGTTAAACAAACAACATTAAAAGTTGTTAATTAGTGAGGTAGTATTTCTCAACTTTGGAGAGAGCAAGGCTTAATTGTTAATGGACAGACTTAAGAATGATGTCAATCAAACTCTCCCAAAATGTCTATTCCTTTAAAAACGGTTGCTTCATGTCTCTCACCTGTGCACGGTGCTCACCAACGGAAAACTGAACCACAGCAAAGTTGGGTGAGGTGTGGCTCCCTTCGATGCGCTCAACTGTGGACGAGTCGATCTTCAGCTCACTGCTGATCTCGGCACTCTGGATGAAGTCCTCTGTCTTCAGGTCCTCCACACGTTTCAGCTCTCCATCGGCCAGCTGGATGATGGAGCCCTTGATGAAATACGGGGGGAGTGAAGGGGGCACCACTGTACTGGATGTGGGCGGAGGAGCAGAAGGAGCAACTAGACCCGGCAGAGCAGGAACAATGGGCAGATGAAGCTGGGCTTGGACCACTGCACTTGAAGCAGCCTGATGATAGTGGCCGCTGGGGGGTTCCAGAGTTTCTCCTTTGGTGGCAGTGGCAGCAATGTATGTGTGTGGGAGTGTGGTAGGAAACGGTGCGGCTTGGGTCGATGATGTTACGTGGGAAGTTACAGCTTCCAATGTGGTGACTCCACCTCCACTAACAGGGATAATGACCGGTTGGGCGCCAGGAATGAGTAAGTGTTGTTGTAGGCTGGTGTGGTAGCTGATTGGCGTATGCTGGCTCCCATTGCCCTCTGCGATGTAACCAATGATTGGTGGCTGAGGGTAGATACTGGTGGAGGGGAGCCCCATTGACAGTGACTCTGTAGCGTTGTGGGTGGTCTGGATAACGGTCTGGGGCGACAGTGTGCTGACAGCAGCTTTCAGGCTGTTGACACTTAATGGGGGTGGAAACGTGAAAGAGGAAGTGGTGTTGGAGGAGGAGGATGTGCGATTGACAGGCTTGCCCAGGATGATGCCACCTTTCTCCAGGTGTGCAGAGGTTGTCACCTTCTCAGGGCTGGCTCTGGGTGGTACCAGCTGGTGGTCCCCATGGCTGTTAGGCATAAGCATGACAGATGTTCTCAGCCCTGAGGGATCATGAGTAGAGTACTCTGATGGCAGAACCAGCTGGCGTGCCTCGTAAGAGGACAAAGTGGTGTCTCGTAATTTGCTCCCTGGCTTGGAGAGGCTGGACTCAGGGGATGCTCCATACCGCCGGCCCCTTTCCAGCTCTCCATTGTGGAGCTCTCTGGGTCTGGTGCCAATCTCCTCTTTCCTGGTGGGTCCATCTGTGTACTGCACCACAACCTGGGACATCCCATGCCCCAAAGTATGATGGTGATGCAGTGAGTGGGGAGAAAGGTGAACGCCTCCCTGGTGATGAGGCGACGGCACAGTCCGTGGGGAGCTTGACATTTGAACATGGTGAGGGTTGGGGTCTGTAGAAGGTGGAGGCATGGAGGTACGCCCCGTGGATGCTCTCTGCTGGTCATGTTTGGAGGCCTGCGAAGGAGCACAGACTGTCTCTGTGTGTGAGGGTCTCTGTGCGGCCAAAGAGGAGGAGGAGAGGGGGGGAGGTGGAGGAGGAGGTGGAAGCAGTTGAGGGGAGATGTAGCCTGTGTATGGGGCAGTGTAGGGTGAGGCTATAAACTGCAGGTTGGGAGGCAGTTGGGTGTAATGGACAGTTCCTCCAACTGTGGACTGTGACAGAGGGGATGTATACACTGTAGGAAGAGATGAGACTAACCTCAGTGAGGAAGAGGAGGATGAAGTGTCTGATGTGGAGAAGAGGGATTTATACTGGGGCCCGTCAGACTGACTGGAGCTACGGTGCCCACCCACGCCACTCTCATTGCCACCAGCCACACTGGCAAGCCAGGCCATGTTCTCTGTGCGCTGGCTGTCACTGGCAGGTGGCATAATGGGTGAGCGAATTTCAGATGGTAATGTACTTGAGGGGATCTCCCTCTTCTTTGGGGGCAGACATTCATTACTGCGTTCCTGGTTGGACTTCATGCTGACTTCGCCTCCCGTCCTTTAACTGTACTTGCAATTCCTTAATTTTTGGACTTCTACAGCTTTATCTTCCTTTTTTGTTCTCTCTCTCTCTAACTTTCTATTTCACTTTCTTTTCTCTTTTTCTCACTTGTGATAATCCCCTTGTCTCACTTTAATTAACGATGAATTAACTTTCCCAAACTTTTTTCTCTTTCACTCTCTATCCAGTTCACCCAAGGCCGTTGAACCAGGTCTTTTTTTTTTGATAACAAAGAAAATCCAGGTCCTAACAAGCAGGTGAGGAAGGATTAAAGATGGAGATGAAGATATGGAGGGGTAGTTAGAGGGGAGGGGTAGGGCGGTCTGTTTGGTCCAGGGGTCTTTAGCGGCTGAAGGGTGAGCTCAGTGTGGTAGGGGAGAGTGTCACGACGTCACACCTGCTGCTGCCGCCGAGGACGACGGGGGGCCGAGTGCGCCGCACTTCATGCGGAATCATTTCCCTGCAAAAGCAAGCCTGCCGACACCCAGCGCAATCCTGTGGAAGAGAAAGATAGACTGTTAGGAAAAGGCGTGGATTTAAATAGGGCGGTACAATAAAATTGGAATATTATCTAAATCACAATATGGCCAACTGCAATTTCTTAATAAAGGTAAAATGTGTGACATAATTATAGTGCTGCAGAGACGCCCTGTCCTACAAATCTTCTCAAGATGTAAGAAAACATGCTTGTTGCCCAACAAATGTCACATCATGATTTTGCTATATATTTCAATAAAGATGAAAACTGTGTTACAAAAATCATCATTCACACTAATTGTGCAATTGTAACATATGTCAATATGATTGTAAGCCTTAGATCTAAAGATGATTAATACATAAATACATACAAATTCATATTTTTTTTTTTTTACGTGTGCAGGTTGTTTTCACCAAGACAGCAACCATAATGACCAATTTTCAAAATTCCTGCCCCCTGAAACTGCATCAGCTAATTGTTTTTCAATGAATCTGAAAGATGACATACTGCAAGCTACCCAATGCACTGCATAAAACAGTAAAACACTGTAACCCTGGTCTGGGGTACTGGCCGTTGGTTAGCATAAAGGTTTTTTTTAAATTGATGTTTCAGTCTAAATGAAAACTCAAAACTTTTGACTATTTGGTTTTAAAAAATTTCCCCCCGGGGATCAATAAAGTATTTCTGATTCTGATTTCTGATAACCATTCATCCATTTATTAATCACAATATAGCAAATTAAACTACTCTAGATCATGTTTTGCAACCAGGTGCAAATACAAGATGGAGACCAACACATGGTTCCAGCAAACACAGGACATGAAAATGAAAAACAAGGCATAGGAAAGCAAAATGATGCACTGCACCAAGTGATTCAGGAGCACAGCAACAGGCTCAAGAAGAGAAACTACTGAACTATACGTTTACTAGCATAAAGGTTGACAAACAGACTATAAACCAACAAAATGACGCTCTGCGCCAACAAACTCGGGAGCCCAACAAACAGTTCCATAACAAAAACTTGTCACAGACTAACACAAAGACAACAAAAAAGACAGTCAAAAACACTCACAATAACTGTGTTTGAAAGGAATTATAATACGCTGACAAAAATGACTCCTTGCAATAAGTAAATCAGGAGTCCAAGTAATAATTTCATGGGTATTGGCATTTCATACAAAATAGGCTGCACATACAGACAAATGAAAAACTGTGGCAAAACAGTATGTTGTCAAAAATCCCTTTAGTAATCTGCATTTGGAGAAATTTGCTGATGATCGAGCTATGTTTGTAGAAGTGAAAAAAGCTTTCCATGGTGGTGAAAATGGCTACAAGGAAAGCTCGTCTTGTGCTTCTACAGTGCATGGTAAAATTAGCTGTGGTCGTTGCACCAGGCGGCTAAGTTGATGTGGTTTTTGGTGCCAGCAGTGGGGGGAGCAAATGAATTGAAGCAGAATAAAAAATAATCCAATGGGTTTCCAGAAGCTTGCACCCCGAATAATAATAATCTAAACAATTCCAAGAAGTTTCCAGCACCTGCCTGGGTTGTATTCAATAAAGTATGTGTGAGTGTGTACCACATGTGTGTGTGCCATCTGTTAGCGAGGACCCCCTGCTGCAAAAGATGGAAAGCTTGGTGTGAATCTCATAAATAATGTACAAGCATTTCAAGCACATGCACCCACCTACTCACCCACACACACACCCACCCACACACACACACATCATCCTGCTTACTCAAACACTGACACCTGGGCATATTCAATTATGCTGACACATGTTCTTTCCCTGACACACAGCACAAGTTCACACACAAACACACACTCTATTTCACTAACTAGTGAACAAAACCGGCACATACACTTAGACTTCATATTTGCACACTTGAAAGTGGCCGGTGTATCAGCTGATTAACACGCACTAAAAATGTGCAGCTAGCATAGCTGTTGTTACAGCAACAACTCACTGACTGCAATACAAGGTTTGTCAATTTATTTCCTGTTAAGAGATGGGAAGGTCAGTCGCTTTACTTTGACAAAGGCTGAGGGAGTTTTATGCAACTTTGAAATTTGCACAATTAAACTTACAGAAATACATGAGCATTGTGGCAATAAGACGATGAAAAAACATGATTAATTACATAAATATTCAGTTTAAAAGGCCAATCACATGATTATTCATAAAAAACAAACACTAAGAAAGGTTTAGTTTCTACTGAGAACTACATATAGAAGGCTTTTTGATCCAAAAAATGATGTGTCTTGACATAATGCTGAGAATCTGCAGACACGGGGCACACGGATATAAAAGCAAGTAAGTAACCACCATTTATGCAACTGGTTTGGTAAAATCGCTGAATGTAAGACTGCAATTGTAACTGTACTCACATTAGACCCCATAACACAACCTCTTGTATCGGTGATGACTCTGATCTCTGTAGCTGCCAAGCCACAAAAGATTTCATCTTTCAACCAGAATGACTGGGTCAACACCTCCCAGACCTCCTAAGGCTTATTTGCTAATTCCTGCAGAGTGATACTAATTGCACTCCCTGTGTGTATTGGTGTGTGTGTGTGTGTGTGAGTTCTGCAGCACGAGGGACATCTTGCATCCCAAGCAGATTCCTGTGATTTAAGAAGTGTCGCAGTGCTACTACAACACAACCGCAGAGACAGGCGTAGGAGTAAACACACACACACACACAAACACAGTGTTTTATGGTAGTGAGCACACAGACGCACTTTCTGAAGAACACACCATCTGTTCAATCAAGCAGGCATGAGTCAGAGGTGCACTGAGAGGTACTGTTGATCGGTGAGGTTTTAGCACTGAGATGCAATCTTCTCTGCCTCTCCCTCCTTCAGTCTACCTCCACTCGAGTCCTCTCTCCTGCCTCAGCCTGCCCACCTATCCTTCTTCATAACTCCATTCTCAATTATCATTCTTCCATCTAATGGTTTTATGTTCTTAATCTTCTGTCTCCTAATGCCTTTGCTTCTTGTCTCTTGGCCTCCTTTCACATGAATCTTCTACCCGTCTCTCCACTGTACCACACCTCATTCACTGTACTGTTGGTGCTGTGTCGGTATAGATAGATATATAAAAGATAAATAAAAAAAGAAAATACTATATAACTATTCTGCTTTTATTCAACAAGCTCTTGCTCAAATTAAAACTTTAAGATAAGAGGAATGCTATGTGTCTGAGAGCTCTTAGATTAGAGACATTTCATATCAACTGTCACATCAAACACTGACAGTGTCTGTACATCCAGCCACTGATCTCTTCCTGCTGCCATCTATGAGAGCTTTTATCTTTAGAGTGAGGCACGTCATTTCTAACAGTTCACTCTGTGCATGTGAAAAAGCTTCTTTCCTTTCCAGAAGAAATATTATATGCATTTTGTAATGAGATATATATCTGTGTGTGCTAAGGCAAGCAACATATCACAGTTAGATTGCTACTGCAGCAGAAAGGATGTAAACTACTACTACAAGAAAAGTGGTTTGTCATCCTAACTTTGTCTGTCTGCTGTTTGCTGCCAGGCAGGTAGCTAGAATAGGATTTTAAAACTTTTTTTCTGAGAACAGCTGCGTGCTGTGCATGATAAGAGAGGTGAGAGTGAACCAAAGCAGTTATGTTGCAAAAAAACAAAACAATGATGTAAAATCTCCAAAAATGCACCATACAGCAGAGTCCGGCGATAATTATCCGTGGGTTTGTTACTACAAGCGACACCTTTCACACTATATGCAGTCATTAGATTCATTGTTAATATGAACATCTCGATTACACCAGCTTAGAATAGTGCAGGAGCCAACAGTGAGATGTACACATTAATCCTGGGGAAAAAACTGAACTTCCAAGCTTGGGTCCTTTCTCTTCTACTTTGTCCTGCAATTGAGAGAGAGAGAGAGAGAGAGAGAGGGAGAGAGAGAGAATAGAAGAAGACTGTGCTGAGAGTGAAGGAGAAGAAGGAGTGAAAGTAGAGAAAAAGACTCATTCTTGCTGTAAACTCCTCAGCTGAGACTTCGCTGAGGGCTACATTCCCTCCTTATTAACCCTTCCAGCACACAGGCTGGGAAATGTGGGCATTTTGAACAAAAAAAAACTACAATTAGGTAAGGAAAAGTACGAGGAGGGTCGACAAAGGGATTTGAGGGAGGGATAAAGAGAGATAAACAGGGGTTTGAGAGTGAGGAAAGGCTTGGGACGCACAGGAGAGGGAGAGAGAACGAGAGGAAAGCTCAACTGACCTACATTGCAAAAAGAGAGAGTATTGCTTCACTGAAACTGACACTCAAACACACATTCACTGAAAAGCGATGTCACCTGAATCTTGCTGAGTTTGCAGCGTGTACTTGTGTGTGTGTGTGTGTGTAGGTGTTGTGCGTGCGTGTTAGATATCAGATGACCCTGTAACCCAAGCCGGCTGTCCTCCATGTGCCTTTAGTCTCTCACACACACACATTCACTCAACACAATGATCCACCTTACCATAAGTCTGTGTGGTGTGTGTTGTGTGTAGTTTTGTTGTGTGTGGTGTGTCTGCTTTCTGGGATACCTAGTGAATAGTGAAAAAACTTTTGTGTTTGTGAGTCAAACTGATCGTTCACTTCCATGCCTATACTATTATCCTTTACGTCAATAACAGTACAATCAACATACCAGACTACATATAGTTTACTTCTTTTTTTTTTATCACTCCACATAGAAGTCAGGACAGTACATGCTACAGCCTGAGGTGGTTATTCT